AGAAGATCTACTACAGGCTATTGCACATTTCTTGGGGGAAATCTTGTGACATGGAAGAGTAAAAAGCAGACGGTTGTGGCCAGAAGCAGTGCTGAAGCTGAGTATAGGGCCATGGCTCACACTACCTGTGAATTAGTGTGGTTGAGGAATCTCCTAAAAGAAATTGGGTTTCACATGGATAAACCTATGAGATTGTACTGTGACAATCAAGCTGCAATCCATATCTCATCCAACCCTGTCTTTCATGAGAGAACAAAGCACATAGAAGTTGATTGCCACTTTGTGAGGGAGAAGGTTATGGCTGGAGAGATAAGTATAGAACATGTGGGCTCGAATGATCAGTGGGCAGATTTGTTTACAAAATAAGCTCAGAAAAAGTGAACTACCTATGTGACAAGCTGAGATTAAATGACATATATTCTCCAGCTTGAGGGGGAGTGTTAAAGTGAGCCGAATAGGGGTAGTTTAGTCATCTAATGTGTGTTAAGTAGTTTGCTTATGTGGCTGTTTTATTAGAGTACTCTGCCCCACACTTAAGTATGGGCAATTTAGTCTTTGTAAAAGATTATTAGACTCTAATAAAGATTAAGGGGGTCGATTGGAGGTGCAACCATCAGTTTTCGACAGACCCTTATTTCCTTCTTCTTCTTCCTCTTCTTCTTCCTTCACTTCCTGGTTCGGGTTACTGTAGCAGCATTCGAAACAACTGCTTTTAAAGATCAGCCAAATCTTTAGCAGTTCCTTAGCTAGGGAAGGAGTTGACAGGGAAGCTCTATTTTGGGGGCTGGCCAAAGCGGGTAGGAAAATACGATAGTGTAAATTCTGGTATGTGTTGTATGCAGTGTTTTCAACCTACCGTTGACTCGACCAGTCGAACTGTTCGAACCGTCACCCGGACAGGATTCCGGGTCCGATTCAGTCAAGACCTGTTAGACGGTCAAAAACTGTTCGACCCGGCCGGTTCAACCGTTGATCCGTTCGACCCGGTGACCAGGCCGAGGGTTGCACACTAAATACATGCATACTTTTAGAGGCCATAATTTTGCACTCTGATGTCTGATTGAGGTGATTTTTCTTATTTTGGGTAACTTTTCGAGATCTATGCGCCCCAAGGAGCCGTAGGTGCCTTGCCCCGCTATTTTCGTGAAAAAAAAAACCTTTTTTGGCCTCAAATTGCAATTTTAAATATTTTAATAAATAAAAAATTAAAAACTGAATTAAATAACATATATTAAATATACAATATTACATATAACATATCTAAAACATATTTATACATTACTAAAATATATACTTATACACATATATGCGCTGATGTGGCATAGTCTGAACCATTCAACACGGCCGGTACAGTGATTTAAAAGGCACGCCTCAGGCGCACAAGCGAGGCGCGTTTTAGGGTAGGCGCCTTGCCCAAGGCCTAGGTGCAGCCCATTCAAAAGGCGCATGCCTGGTGCACCTAGTGCACCTTGCACCTTAGCCCAGGCGTGCGCCTTTTGAAAATTTGCCGCTTTTTCCATTTTGAGTTTGGCAGCCCCCGACCCCCCGTGCCACACCCCTTGAGGCAAGCCCAAACAAGGCCATGTTAGGGTCTTAAATTCTTAGTTTTCACACAAAAAATAATAATTTTATAGTTTTAATTGCTTTTAAGAAGATATTTTATTAGGATGAATGAATGGACAACATTACCAAATAGGGGATTCTTGAAGCTTCGGTGACATGGCCTTGTCTGNCGGCTTGTAGAATTAGGAATGTAATATGTCACATTAGCTACTTGATGCAATTGAGAAAAAAAAAAGAGATTGTGGGTTTTATATGCTTGAAAATGATTTATATGTTTTCACGAGCAGCATTGTTATGGACAGTAATGGGAAGAAAGGAATGCCAGAATCTACCAAGAAAAAGGAAGTCAAACCTTAAAGAACTGCATTTTGTCCAGGTCTTTACATTGGTTAAAGACTCTAGAATTATTTAACCATTTTACTTTTATTGATTGTTGGAAGAATTGGAAGTTGGTAGCAAGTTGTTCCTCCTACAAGGGAAGGCCAGTAACTAGCTGGGTCCCCCCTCCTCTTGGTTCTTTGAAGCTGAATTTTGATGGGAGTAGCCAGGGTAACCCGGGTCCCTCTGGGATGGGAGGTGCACTAAGGAATGAGGCTGGAGAGGTTGTCTTAATCTACTCTGGCCCTTTAGGAGTTGGGAACTCTAT